TTACAAGCTCATATATTTTGTCATGTTTTTCCTATCAGGAGGCCGCTGAATTTGAGATATCTGNACTCGTTTCCACATCATAAAAAAACAACATTTTGTAAAATTTAGGAAGCATAACCAAATAACCTCAAATTTTAAGTCTATCGTCAACAGTGATTACTCCTTTACTTGCATCAAGAAACTTGTACTTCAACAGAATCTTGCACCCTTTCGCAAGATCTTATACAAAATTTCCTTTCCTCAACTTAATAGAAGGGTTCACACGTTGCATTTGATCTTAACAAATCGTAAGTAGCCCGTATGGCCTCTAGATTCACTGTTGCTCTCCGCCATTATGCTGAGAGAGCTAGCATTTCCAGGCAAGTTTGTAGACCGATCGCTGCCTCTTCTTGCTGCTTTTACGAGACATTGAACCATGCACCTTCATTATCTTGCCAACTCCCCAAGTTCCTGAAGGGAAAAAATCACTTCTAATGTTCTTGAATCTGCACAAGGCATCATCATGCAAGCACAATAAGTATTGACAGATCAACCAACCAACATGATTGTATCACTTTGCCAGTATCATCATCCAAAAAGAATAGGAAAACACGATTTCTGTACTTGCTCAAGTTTCTCTTCACCGTAACTAGACATTTTTTGCACAGGTTCATTGAATATATACAACCAAGGATCCCAGATTTGCATTGCATCTAATTCCTTTCTATGTATCAAATGCATATCAATTTGCAAATTTCTTAACTAGCTAACACTGCCCTTTGTCCATGAAAATCCAAACTATACACGCCCATTGGGAACAATAGCTCGAGCAAGCAAGGTAGTCAAGGATCCATTTCCAGTTCCCGACTCAAGAACCTGACAACCCGGGGATCTCCGAGTACATTACTACAAAACTAATATCAGCAATATACAAAATCCGAGTTCTATGGCTTAGAACCAGAGTCCATAGCTCTGGTGTAGGGGCCTACAAATACACAAATCCACCCTTGTTACTGAACATATGGGACCAAAATGGTTTCCCAGTCCAATCTGAATGCTTAAATACACCAAAACCATTTTGCTCAGAAACCTGGCGTCCAGGTGACCCAGTACAGTGTGATTCTCTTCGGCTAGTACAAAGTCTACTGTCCAATTCTAGTTTGGCTCCAAACGCGGCTACTTTACTTGATTTTATGGAAAAATAATAAGGTTTAGTTTCTTACTGGTTAGCCTGAGTACCATCATTTAGTGACAAATTGTGATCCATGTCATGGTTCAACTACAAAAAATGATTAAAATTAAGGTTAAAATTAATCACATATTGCATTAACTTTTATCAAAATGTACTAAAAATCTAATTTTTATCTAAACCAAACAGAGAAATAATATCTAGCAGCTATATTCCAATTAGGAGCTATCTGATTAAACAATCATGCTACATTGCTAGAAAAGTTTGATATCTTCCTTGATATGACATTTAGGGCTGTAAATGGATCGAATATGGACTGGATCTACCTATATCCAATCCGATCCGATCCGATAAGAATAATTATCTGATCTGATAGTCCAACGGATATTTTATTGCTAAATCTATATCTGATTTGCTATGTTATCGGATATCCGATCCGAAATTAATAAAAATTAGGAAAAAAATAATGTTCTTTAAAAAATTTTGAACTAACTTGACGCCCACTTGTTTTTACTACCAAGCCCAATAGTGACTTTTACCATCATTATGTTCATTTTTAAAGGAGAGATCCTCTTTTAGTTTTCTATTGACATTCGATGTGGGATAAGGTAAAATTGAATTTCAATTCTAAATATAAATATTTGATTTCATTATTTCCATTAATAAATCAAATTATTTCTTACATATTAATTATTAGTTTTTGAAGTTGTAAAATAAATTACAATAATAAATTTAATTAAGAAAAATATAGATATTTATTTACTTTAAATTA